TTTTAAAAAAAAGTTATCAAGCTCTTAAAAAATCACCCGTTATATATGTACATATATGAACAATAAAAAAAATTAATGATATATTCTTAATTTTTTTATACTAGGTTCACATATAAGTAGATCACCCTCATTTTCGAGCGTAACACCCTAATCTGTAATTATAACAAGAGATTAGCCATATAAAATTCGTCCCTTGTTAATCTGTAATTATAAAATAATCTCAGATTTAACCGATGACTTTTCGGTGTCCATCCTAGTTTTTATCGATTGTTTTTGCGAAAGAGAGGAGAAATGCCAAATGTAAAAGTAAACAAAAATGAACGCTAGCAAGTAAAAGAGGTTTGTAAAGGTATTTTTAATAAAATGTTAAGTTAAAATATATTTATATTGCTTATTATAGCAGAAAAACGTGATCACGGCGGCACAGAGAAGAAACATAATTTTCCTTGAGATGTGAGAATATCAAGCACAACAAATTTGACGGCTAATAATCAGAGATTTGCCTGTGTAAGCGGGGTGATTAAAAAACGAGCTTTGATTGAGATAATATTGATATGTGAACATAGTTTTACAAACCCTTTTCCTTGCTAGCGCCCATTTTTGTTTACTTAAACAATCGATAAAACTAGGATGGATACCAAAAAGATATCGGTTAAATCCGAGATTATTTTATAATTACAGATTAACAAGGGACGCATTTTATATGACTAATCTCTTTTTCTAATTACAGATTAGGGAGTTAAACTATGTTCACATATCAATATTATCTCAATCAAAGCTCGTTTTTTAATCACCCCGTTTACACAGGCAAATCTCAGATTATTAGCCGTCAAATTTGTTGTGCTTGTTATTCTCACATCTTAAGGAAAATTTATGTTTCTTCTCTGTGCTACCATGATCACGTTTTTCTGCTATAATAAGCAATATAAATATATTTTAACTTAACATTTTATTAAAAATACCTTTACAAACCTCTTTTACTTGCTAGCGTACATTTTTGTTTACTTTTACATTTGGCATTTCTCCTCTCTTTCGCAAAAACAATCGATAAAACTAGGATGGACACCGAAAAGTTATCGGTTAGATCGGAGATTATTTTATAATTACAGATTAACAAGGAACGAATTTTATATGGCTAATCTCTTGTTATAATTACAGATTAGGGTGTTAAGCTCGAAAATGAGGATAATCTACTTATATGTGAACCTAGTATAAAGGTATTATTACTAAAATGTTAAGTTAAAATATATTTATATTGCTTAGTATTGCAGAAAAACGTGATCACGGCGGCACAGAGAAGAAACATAGCTTTTTTTTTTTAATTGTGCACTTCATGGTCACCACCGAAAATTGATGCAAAATAATCGAAAGTGGTATCAAACGACGCATATTACTGCCAGTATTAAGAATCCGAAGGCGGAAGCTTATTTGTTTTACACCGTTCAAAAGTTATTTGCAAAAAACTGTTTCATTTCACACAACTTTGTTAGTACTGAAATCACATTAATATATGCACGAAATGAACACATATTAATATCTCGATGTTCAGCATAGTTTATCTTACCCGAATTTGTAACAAAAACCCACGAAACTTAATGATTTAATGATGTATTATACTGAAAACAACAAATGTAAACCCGACGTGTCCTTTTTATTCCGCTAGTTGTAATAAAAACATGGAGGTGCTTGGTGTTGCCAATATATTACTATAAGAAAAGGTTTTATTTAGAGATGCCAATAACAATAAATGTAAACGATTTTAAGTATATAAGAATGCACCCCTTCACAAATCCTTATGTAATTCGGAACAAGTAAAGAATACCCACCGCTTCGCTAGAAAAAAAAACTAAGAATAGCAGTCGATAGAGCTTTTTGAGCTGATTACAACGGTACTAAAATTTACTTGCAGAAATTAAAATTAAGCGAGATATCGAAGGTCAAAGATCCAAATTTGCTTTTTGAAAACCCATATTATCTCAAAAACTGGAAAAGCGTTTGTAAAAGATAATATATAGTTTTAAAGGAAATTAATACACCTTTCTTTTGGTCTGCATTCCTTGTGCCTTGCATTTCTAATTGCTGATAAAAATTGGTTTTTATAAAAAATATATGAAAAAATTCCATTTAACCTGCTTTTTTTCAAAACTAGCCTTATTAGAATAGTGTTGTCGTTCTTTTGGTATAAAGAAAATTAATTTCCCTTTTGTTTGATATGCGTATGTCTATTTTTACTTGCGTCCACAGTATTT